TTTTGGTGGGGGACAGGATCTCGCTCTGGAGTGCAGTGGCACTATCATAGCTCACTGCAGCCTCTATCTCCCATGCTCAATCCTCCTGCCTTGGCCTCCCAAAGTGCTGGGGTTTTGGTTTTTGGTTTTTGTTTTGAAACAGGGTCTCGCTCTGCCGCCAAGGCTGGAATGCAGTAGCGCAATCTCAGTCTACTGCAACCTCTGTCTCCTGAACTCGAGCAATCCTCCCACCTCAGCCTCCTGAGTGGCTGGAGCTACAGGTGCATGCCACCAAGCCTGGCTAATTTTTGTATTTTTAGTAGAGATGACGGGGTCTCGCCATGTTGCCCAGGCTGGTCTGGAACTCCTGAGCTCACATGATCCACCTGCCTCAGCCTCCCAAAGTGCTGGGATTACAGGTATAAGCCACTGTGTCCAGCCCAGAATCTGCATTTCAGATAAATGTCTGAGGTAGCTGTGAGCTGTCCCATTTAGAGGAATAGGGCAGGAAAGAGTCCTTAAGAAAACAAGGGTGTCTCATTGCTGGTGGCGGGTGCAGCAGTGATAAAGAATCTTGGCTCAGTTAATCTAAGACGCAAGGGAGGAGTCCTGAGTGACTGGCAGCTTTGTCTCCAGTAGCAGCCCAGTCCCTTATCTTGGGATTAGCAAAGATCCACATCTCTGCTTTCTCATGCATTTTTTTAAAAAACACACACATACAATCGTGTAGCCTTGCTTGGTCTGGGAGCAGGCAGAAGACTTTGTTAGGATTGCAAATGCATTCAGTGAAGCCCTCCTAATTACTGAATACATGTTAGAGAAATTCTATAAAGAAAAATTTGCTCGTCACCACGTTCACATGACTGCATTTTACCCGCTGTACCCAGCCTACCCTTGTGCAAACAGATTTTTACATGGCTGTAACCAGAGAGCAAACGGTTGATTGCTCCTTCATTCCCTTATACGTCCCTACGCTGAATTTCTCCTTTCCATTCTACCACCTGTTCTCCAAGGGCTGGATATCACAAGCATCTCACCCCAGGCTCGAGGAGAATGTCACAGACTCAGGGGCCCTATGGAACTCTAATCCCACTGTACGAGACTTTAAAATAGCCTTTTATGGCTCGGTTTCCTCTAGTCTACAGCAGTGTTAGGAAGAGTCGCTGAGGCAGGCAGGGGCAGGAAGTGCTCCATGCTGGGAATAATTTCACAATAATAAATCATGCCTTAGAGCAGGGGGCAGTGAACTTTTTCTGTACAGGGCCAAAGAGTAAATATTTTAGCCTTTGCAGGCCATAAGGTCTCTTTTGTAACTACTCAACTCTAGCCATAGACCATATGTGAATGAGGGGCACAGTTGGCTATGTTCTAATAAAACTTTATTTCCGGCCGGGCGCGGTGGCTCATGCCTGTAATCCCAGCACTTTGGGAGGCCGAAGTGGGTGGATCATGAAGTCAAGAGATCAAGACCATCCTGGCCAACATGGTGAAACCCCATCTCTGCTAAAAATACAAAAATAGCTGGACGTGGTGGTGCGCGCCTCGGGAGGCTGAGGCAAGACAATCGCTTGAACCCAGGATGCAGAGGTTGCACTGCGCCGAGATTTCACCACTGCACTCCAGCCTGGCGACAAAGCGAGACTCCATCTGAAAAAAAACAAAAACAAAAAAACAGCCGGGCGTGGTGGCTCACACCTGTAATCCCAGCACTTTGGGAGGCTGAGGTGGGTAGATGACGAGGTCAAAAGATTGACACCATCCTGGTCAACATGGTGAAACCCCGTCTCTGCTAAAAATACAAAAAAAATTAGCTGGGCATGGTGGCACGTGCCTGTAATCCCAGCTACTCAGGAGGCTGAGGCAGGAAAATTGCCTGAACCCAGGAGGCGGAGGTTGCGGTGAGCCGAGATCGCGCCATTGCACTCCAACCTGGGTAACAAGATCGAAACTCCGTCTCAAAAACAAAAACAAAAACTTTATTCCCCAAAGCAGGCCATGGGCCAGAATGGAGTCAGGACTGTAGTTTGCCAATCCTTGCTTTAGAGCAAGCTTGTCCAACCCACAGCCCAACACAAATTTGTGAACTTCCTTAAAATATTATGAGGGTTTTTTTTTTTTTTTTTTTGCATTGTTTTGTTTTGTTTTTTAGCTCATCAGCTATTTTAAGTGTCAGTGTATTTTATGTGTGGCCCAAGACAATTTCAGTGTGACCCAGGGAAGCCAAAAGATTGGACACCCTGCTTTAGAGCTTTTCGTTTTAATGCTCTTCAAAGCACTGCCGTAAATACCGCTTCAGGCACTTACCCTGCAGGCAGCCTGGACACTATCCCCTTTAATAAAAGAAAAAATGGAGGCCCAGAGAGTGCTTAGCCCCACGTGTTGACAGAGACAGGATGCCAAGGAAGGGCTGCACCTACATCCCGTCACAGAATCCCCAACCTTCGTCCCTCCTCTCCCTGACTCCAAGCAGAGCAGGGAGGAGGACCTCTGCCACACCCAGTGGCACCCCAGGGAACGCCCCGGAAACGCTGGGGTGCCGTTCTGCTGGATGCATGATGTTTTCCACCCCTCTGTGTGCAGGCAAGACCAGGCTGAGTCAGCTAGAGGCCCTGCCCTTCCTTGAGGAATGAGAGGAGCTGTCCTTTGCATTAAAAAAAAAAAACCCAGCTCTGCCCAGGCTGATGAGGGCAACAGCTGGCTGGAGGTGACAGGGCACCAAGCTCTTTTCTCTCACCAGAGGTGCTGATGCCAACTAGCAGCCTGCTCAGCCCAGGCAAAATGCAGAAGTGGCTGAGAGGCATGGCTGAAATCTCCCCTTGGGGGAAGAAGGGTGTGTGTCAGGGGGGACGGTGAGGGGGTGTTATACGTGTGTGTATGAGGTATTTTCTGGGCAGATGCCCCTCAAGTAAAATTCACCCTTGAATTGCCATCCTCTGCAGTTAATTCAGCATATCCACTAGGAGTGTGATCTCTGGCCAGGGATGGTGGCTCATCCCTGTAATCCCAGCACTTCGGGAGTCCGAGGTGGGCAGATCACAAGGTCAGGAGATCGAGACCATCCTGGCCCAACATGGTGAAACCCTGTCTCTATTAAAAATATAATAATTAGCCAGGCGTGGTGGCATATGCCTGTAGTCCCAGCTACTTGGGAGGCTGAGGCAGGAGAATTGCTTGAACCCGGGAGGCGGAGGATGCAGTAAGCCGAGATCGCGCCACTGCACTCCAGACTGGTGACAGAGCGAGACTCTGGGGGGAAAAAAAAGTGTGATTGCTGGAGCCTGACTGCCTGGGTTCAAATATTGGTTTTGCCTCACAAGGGAGATTTTGGAGGTCATGGGAATGTTCTAAAACCAGATAGTGGTGATAGTTGCGCAACTCTGTAAACAGTCTACTAAAAATCATTGAATTGTGGACTTTGAAAAATCTTGCCTCCAGCATTGAAAGCTGTGTGATCTTGGGTATATTACTTAACCTCCCCGAACCTCAGTCTCCTCATCTGTCAAACAGGAATGATAATAATAGTACCTGACTCCAGATGAGATTTCAACAAATCAATAACATGAAGATTTTAGAATGTCACCTTGCAACTAAGAAGGGATAGATAACTGCTCGTTCCATGGTGTCTCCGATGCGTCAGAAAGAAGTGTTTGGGCTCACAGGCACTTGCCCGCTCGCCTGTATCTGGGAGTGCCTACACCATGCCTCCGCTCGCCCTCTCCTCCTGGTCTCTGCCTCTACTGTTTGTTTTGCCAGGAACACCCTTTCCTGTCAGCTCCAGTGCTAGTTCCACTGAGGGGTCGTTTCTCTTCTCTGCTTTTATGCAATGATTTAATAATCTTTTATAGTAAAGGCTCAGAAAGGGCTAAATGGCATATGGTCAGTTCTGTGCACTCCCTGATCTGAGATCCGTGTGCCAGGAAGAGGTGACACCTTGTCTATCCCACTCCTATCCATGGTGCCTGTATCCTAGCTGTGGCGACCTGGGTGCTGAACTGAGTCCAACAGCAGGCGCCAAGGCTGTGACATCCACTGTGGGTCCCAGCACAGTGGCTAGAAAGATCAGGGAACATAATGTGGTGGCAGTGAAAGCAGGCAAGCTAAAGCAGTGATGGGTGACGTTCCTTGGGACCAGAAGCCACTCACCCACCGGGGGTTTCCAGAGCCACATGTCATACACGAGAAATGGCTTTCTGTCTCCAGCCGCTGGCTTCCCCAAGTTATAGAGAATGCAAATTGTAAAACGATGCAATGATAAGGTGACCCACAGCCAAAGCCTGGGGATGGGCCAGGGTGGTGCTTTTAAGCCTGCAGAAACACACAAGTCTGATTCCGGGGTCGGCAGCTGGCAGTCAGGGAGAGGGTTCCTTGGCCTCCACTGTCCCATTTCTGGCTCCTCGGTCTCAGCCCAGAGACAGCCCAGGCCCCAGGTTGACTGGCAGGAGCCTGTGGCCCCAATAAGTGACCTGGTGTCACAAACAGGCTGGTAACCTGGCAGTAGCTGCGCCTGTTGGTTTTGCCTGGGCCTCACGTAGCCAGAGCCAAGTGGAGCACCCAGACAGCAGCCCCCTCCCTGCCACGTGGGCTGGGGAAACAGAGTGCGTGCAAAGGGTGAGGGAGGAGACCGTCCCTTAGCCCCCAGCTCTCCAGGAACACTTCTGCTTCGGCCAGAAAGGGAGTGTAGGGGTGGGGTGGGAGGAGATTCCGCAAACGCCCCCGAAGCCTTCCCTCTAACACTAACACAAGCATAGGATCCGCCAAGCGGGGGAAATGGACACCTCCGAAGAGGGCCTGGGGTCAGAGGTGCGGGCGGCAAAGTTCTCCCACCTCCCGGTGGAGTCAGGGGGCCGCTCTTTCCCCCACCTTTCTCACTGCACGCCAGACACCCCGGTCCGGCGCCTCCTCCCCGGCCCGGCGGCTGCTCTCGGCCAGTCCGCAGGTTCCAACGTGTCCCTCCCCTCCGCGCCTCCAGGAGACGGCGCCGCCCGCCCTGCCCCAGCGCCCCGCGTCTCCCGCGCACTCACCGAAGCCCCTGGTCCCCTCCTCCGGGGCCTCTTGGGTGAAGATCCAGGGCGGGTTGGTGGCGTAGAGGGAGGTGCTGGGGTTGGTGGCGTGCTTCTTCCCGAAGAGTTTGCTGAAGGTGCCCTGCACCGTCTGGTTCTTTTTCATGCTGCCGCAGCCCGCGCGGGCGCCGGGGAAGGACCTTGCCTCCGTCGCCCTGCCCGGCCCGGGACTGAACGCCGCGCGGTCTCTCCAGGGGACCCTACCAGGCCATGTCCCCCGCCGTCCTCCCCGCCTGCGCACCGGGCGACAGGTGCTGCGGGCGCCGCCGCTCGCCGGGAAATGCGAGCTACCTGGCCAGGTAAGAGGCAGCCGCCCGGCCCGGCCCCGCCCCGCCGCCGCCCAACTCCCCAGGCCGCATTCCTTCTCGCCTCCTCCTACAACAGGCCATTGTTGGCACGGCCCGGTGGGCTGGGGACCTCGCCCGGCCCACGCCCAGCCTGGGAGACGGGCCACCCCCTCCCCCAGGTTCCCTCTCGGCCCGCCTCCTCCACCCCACTTCTCCCTGGGCCCGGGAAGGGGGCGGGTGAGTTCCCTGCCTCTCAAGGCGGTTCGTGAGCAGGTCGGTGCGGGCACTTCGGGGACAACTCTGATGTCCAACACGAGGGACATGGATGGCCAAAGCGAGCACGCCACAGCATCCTATAGGCCTTCAAAAATGTGGGGCCTGAGGCTCTGGGGGGTATCAGGAAGTGCCCTCATGAGAAAAGTAACCTGGGAAAAGCAAGAAAATGACAAACTAGTATACCAATCTAATGACGACGGTGGAAACATCCTCATTGACAAGGCTCCCAAGAGAATGTGGGATGACGAATCATGGCATTCTGTGAACATCACATACTTTTTTTTTTTTTTTTGAGACTGAGTTTCGCTCTTGTTACCCAGGCTGGAGTGCAATGGCGCGATCTCGGCTCACTGCGACCTCTGCCTCCTGAGTTCAGGCAATTCTCCTGCCTCAGCCTCCCAAGTAGCTGAGACTATAAGCACGCGTCACCATGCCCAGCTAATTTTTGTATTTTTAGTAGAGACAGGGTTTCACCTTGTTGACCAAGATGGCCTGGATCTCTTGACCTCGTGATCCACCCGCCTCGGGCCTCCCAAAGTGCTGGGATTATAGGCGTGATCCAGGCACCTCGGGCCTCCCCAAGTGCTGGGATTATCAGCGTGAGCCACCGCGCCTGGCCTTTTTTTTTAAGACAGAGTCTCACTCTGTCACCCAGGCTGGAGTGCAGTGGCGTGATCTCTGCTCACTGCAACCTCCGCCTCCTGGGTTCAAGCGATTCTCCTTCCTAGGCCTTCCGAGTAGGTGGGGCTACAGGCTCATGCCACCATGTCCAGCTAATTTTTTGTATTTTTAGTAGAGACAGGATTTCACCATGTTGGTCAGGCTGGTCTCGAACTCCTGACATCGTGATCCGCCGGCCTCAGCCTCCCAAAGTGCTGGGATAACAGACATGAGCCACTGCACCTGGTCCACATTTTTTTTTTTTTTCTGTGAAGTTAAGAGAATATAATGTTTAAAAACCTGAAGTGGGGCTGGGCTTGGTGGCTCACTCCAGTAATCCCAGCACCTTGAGAGGCCGAGGCAGGCAGATCACCTGAGTTCGGGAGTTCGAGACCAGCCCGGCCAACATGGTGAAACCCCGTCTCTACTAAAGATACAAAAATTAGCCAGGTGTGGTAGTGGCACGCCTGTAATCCCAGCTACTCATGAGGCTGAGGCTGGAGAATCGCTTGAATCCAGGAGGTGAAGGTTGTGGTGAGCCAAGATGGTGCCATTGCACTCCAGCCTGGGCAACAAGAGCGAAACTCCACCTAAAAAAAAAAACAAAAACAAAAACAAAAAAAGTAAAGTGGGTGGAGCCCACTTAGGGTTCCCTTCACTCTCCAGGGAGACAAGTGATGGTCCTTTTAAGAACTTTTCAGTAGTCATTTAAGAACTTTTCTGCACTCCAGCCTGGACAACAGAGGGACATTCTGTCTTACAAAAAAGAAAAAGGAAATCTAACATTGATACACTATTATCATCTTACACACACTCTATATTCTAATGCCTCAGGAGTTCTCAACCAGCCTGACTAACATGGTGAAATCCCGTCTCTACTAAATAAAAAAAAAAAAAAAAAAATTAGCCAGGCGTGGTGGTGCACGCCTGTAATCTGAGCTACTTGGGGGCTGAGACAGGAAAATCACTTTTACCTAGGAGGCGGAGGTTTCAGTGAGCCATTGCCCTCCGGCCTGGACAAAAGTGAAACTCCATCTCAAAAAAAAAAAAAGAAGGCCGGGCGCGGTGGCTCAAGCCTGTAATCCCAGCACTTTGGGAGGCCGAGACGGGTGGATCACGAGGTCAAGAGATCGAGACCATCCTGGTCAACATGGTGAAACCCCGTCTCTACTAAAAATAATAAAAATTAGCTGGGCATGGTGGCGTGTGCCTGTAATCTCAGCTACTCAGGAGGCTGAGGCAGGAGAATTGCCTGAACCCAGGAGGCGGAGGTTGTGGTGAGCCGAGATCGCGCCATTGCACTCCAGCCTGGGCAACAAGAGCGAAACTCCGTCTCAAAAAAAAAAAAAAAGAATTTTCCCAGTTATCCCCTCAAATGTCATTTTAGTTTCTTTGTTTCTTTTTTTTTTTTTTTTTTTTTGAGATGGAGTCTGACTCTGTTGCCAGGCTGGAGTGCAGGGGCAGGATCTCAGCTCGCTGCAATCTCAACCTCCAGGGTTCAAGCAATTCTCCTGCCTCAGCTCCCTGAGTAGCTGGGACTACAGGCACCTACCACCATTCCCAGCTAATTTTTTGTAATTTTGGTAGAGACAGGGTTTCACCATGTTGACCAGGTTGATCTCAAACTCCCGACCTCAAGTGATCCCCTCCCAAAGTGCTGGGATTACAGACGTGAGCCTCTGTGCCCAGCCTGCTTCTTTTTTCTTATCTTTCTTTCTTTCTTTTTTTTTTTTTTTTGAGACGGAGTTTCTCTCTTGTTACCCAGGCTGGAGTGCAATGGCGGGATCTCGGCTCACCGCAACCTCTGCCTCCTGGGTTCAGGCAATTCTCCTGCCTCAGCCTCCTAAGTAGCTGAGATTACAGGCATGCGCCACCATGCCCAGCTATTTTTTTGTATTTTTAGTAGAGACGGGGTTTCACCATGTTGACCAGGATGGTCTCGATCTCTTGACCTTGTGATCCACCCGCCTCGGCCTCCCAAAGTGCTGGGATTACAGGCTTGAGCCACCGCATCCGGCTCTTTTTTTTTTTTTTTTTTTTTTTTTGAGATGGAGTCTACCTCTATTACCAGACTGGCATGCAGTGGCACAATCTCGGCTCACCGCAACCTCTGCCTCCTGGGTTCAGGCAATTCTCCTGCCTCAGCCTCCTAAGTAGCTGAGATTACAGGCATGCGCCACCATGCCCAGCTATTTTTTTGTATTTTTAGTAGAGACGGGGTTTCACCATGTTGACCAGGATGGTCTCGATCTCTTGACCTTGTGATCCACCCGCCTCGGCCTCCCAAAGTGCTGGGATTACAGGCTTGAGCCACCGCATCTGGCTCTTTTTTTTTTTTTTTTTTTTTTTTTTTTTTGAGATGGAGTCTACCTCTATTACCAGACTGGCATGCAGTGGCACAATCTCGGCTCACTACAACCTTGGCCTCCCAGGTTCCATTGATTCTCCTGCCTCAGCATCCTGAGTAGCTGGTACTACAGGCACGAGCCAACACACCTGGCTAATTTTTATATTTTTAGTAGAGATGAGGTTTCGTCATGTTGGGCCCACGCCAAAAGGGCACAAGGGAACCCCCAGATGCCCTCTTACACCCTGGACCTTATCACAACCCACTCGAGTTCTCCAGACACTTGGGCACAAGACAGGGGCTTCTTTCCTGGAGAACTTTGAGGCATGAGATCCCTGCCATCCTGGGTAACTCCTGGGCTCTTACACCCAGAACCAGCCTCAGTGTGGAGTCACCAAAAAGTGGCTCCATTTGTTTGCTTGTTTGTTGGTTTGAGATGGAGTCATGCTCTGTCGCCCAGGCTGGAGTGCAATGGTGCGATCTCAGCTCACTGCAACCTCCGCCTCCCAGGCTCAAGTGATTCTCCCGCCTCAGTCTCTCAAGTATCTGGGACTACAGGCGCACGCCACCACGCCTGGCTAATTTACGTATTTTTAGAAGACATGGGGTTTCATTGGCCAGGCTGATTTTGAACTCCTGACCTCAAGTGATCTACCACTTCGGCTTCCCAAAGTGCTGGGATTACAGGCGTAAGCCACCTTGACAGCCAAGTGGCTCTATTTATTTGTGACTTCTACTGTATTACTAGTATTCTTTTTGAGAGGCTCAGCCTCTGAAAGTGCTGGAATTATAGGTTTGAACCACTGCGTCTGGCCTATAACTAATATTCTTGAGAGCCACTGTGTGCCCCACATTGGGCTGTGAAAGAGCCAGAAAAATTAAAGACATGGTTCTTGAGTCTAGATTGCTGTAGTCAGTTTGTGGAGACAGATAGTGACCTGTAGAGAGCTGGGCAGTGGGAAGGTAAAAGAGGAAGAAAATAAGGATGGGGGAGGCACAGAACATTGGGGGTCTGTAGGATCTGGGGAGGGAAGGCAGGAGGTCTCTGCAGGGGCTGAAGAGGGGGGAGCTGGGAATAACCCCGTGGAAGGGAGATGACGGCAAGTTTGGCCAAGGTGTGGAAGGCTTAAAAAGGCCAGCTGGAAAAATGGGGAACAACCAAATGTCCACCAAAAGGTGAATGGTTGGCAGGGTGTGGTGGCTCACGCCTGTAATCCAAGCACTTTGGAGGCCAAGGTGGGCGGATCACCTGAGGTTGGGAGTTTAAGCCCAACCTGACCAACATGGTGAAACCCTGTCTCGGAAAAAAAAAAAAAAAAAAAAAAAAGAGGTGAATGGTGAAATAAACTATAGCCAGCTGGGCACTGTGGCTCATGCCTGTAATCCCAGAACTTTGGGAGGCCGAGGTGGGCCAATCGCTTTGAGGCCAGGAGTTCAAGACCAGCGTGGCCAACATGGCAAAAACCCATCTCTGCCAAAAATACAAAAAAATTATCCGGGTGTGGTAGCGCATGCCTGTGGTCCCAGCTACTTGGGAGATTAAGGTGGGAGAATCGTTTGAGCACAGGAGGCAGAGGTTGCAGTGAGCCTAGATTACACCACTGACCTTCAGCCTGGGTGAGAATGAGACCCCCTCTCAAGAATAAATAAATAAATAAACAAACAGGCCGGGCATAGTGGCTCACACCTGTAATCCAAGCACTTTGGAGGCAAAGGTGAGTGGATCATCCGAGGTCGGGAGTTCAAGACCAGCCTGACTAACATGGAGAAACCCCGTCTTA